TATTTTTGTGTGTATAAAATTTATATCCAATGTAGGGGTGCCTGAGTATTCAAAGTTGTTTTGTTCTTTGCATTTCTTTTTCTAAATTTTATTTATTTATTAATATTGTAATATTAAATATTCCAAACATTTTATAATTTTCAGTGTACATGTCTTGCACTTTTTTGTCATCTTCATCCCTAAATACTTTACATATATGATGGTATTGTAAATGGTATTTTCTTATTTCAACTTCTAACAGATTATTGCCTATATAGAAATACAAATGATTTTTTTAAAAGATTTTATTCACTGGGCGCCTGGGTGGCTCAGTTGGTTAAGCGACTGCCTTTGGCTCAGGTCATGATCCTGGAGTCCCGGGATCGAGGCCCATATCAGGCTCCCTGCTGAGCAGGGAGTCTGCTTCTCCCTCTGACCCTCCCCCCTCTCATGTGCTCTCTCTCATTCTCTCTCTCAAATAAATAAAATTAAAAAAAAAAGATTTTATTCACTTATTTGAGAGAGGGAGAGCATGAGAGGGGGGAGGGTCAAAGGGAGAAGCAGACTCCCCGCTGAGCAGGGAGCCCCATGCGGACTCAATCCCAGGATCCTGGGGTCATGACCTGAGCCGAAGGCGGTTGCTTAACCAACTGAGCCACCGAGACGCCCCAGAAATACAAATGCTTTTTGGTTATTGATCTTGTATTCCGCAACCTTGCTAAACTAATTTATTAGTACTGGTAGATTTTTGGAGATTCCACCTGATTTTCTACATAAATAATCATGTCTGAAATAAAGATAGTTTTACTTCTTTCGATCTGTATGTTGTTTATTTCTTGTCTTACTGCATTGCCCATAACCTCCAATTCAATGTTGGATAAAAGATCCTTTTCTTGTTCTTCATCTTACAGGAAAGGAATCAATCTTTTATTATTATCATTCCTCTCATAGCCACACCCAATTCATGAATCTAAACCAATCCCCTCTTAATCCCACTCCAGCATAATTAATGTTGATTACTACAAGATGTGGTGGGCCAATCCCATTTTAGACATCCCCTTTATGAATTTATGCCAAAATCCTTTTAAGCCCTGTCCCATTCATAGATTTAAGCCAATTACCCTCTTTTAGGTTCACTCCATTCATGGATTTAAGCCAATCCCTGTTTTAGCACTGCATTCCCGGATTTGAGTAGAACTCCCTCATAGCCACACCCCATAAAATTATTTAAATCAATGTCCTGGGGCACCTGGGTGGCTCAGTTGGTTAAGCGACTGCCTTCGGCTCAGGTCATGATCCTGGAGTCCCTGAATCGAGTCGCACTTGGGGCTCCCTGCTCAGCAGGGAGTCTGCTTCTCCCTCTGACTCTCCCCCCTCTCATGTGCTCGCTCTCTCTCATTCTCTCTCTCTCAAATAAATAAATAAAATCTTTAAAAAAAATAAATAAATCAATGTCCTTCTTGACCCTGTCACATTCTGAGATTTAAGACCATCTCCACATTAATGTATTCTTTTTAAAATGTATTCTTATTATCTCCATTTTGGCCCCACACTCTTTGATTTAGGCTAATCTACCTCATAAATCCTACCTATTCACTGATTTGAGCCTCACTCCTTTGCCAACTTCCTGGATCTAAGCTTTAAATAAAAGCACCCCCTCCTTTATTTATTTATTTATTTATTTATTTATTTATTTAAAAGATTTTATGTATTTATTTGACAGAGAGAGACACAGCGAGAGAGGGAACACAAGCAGGGGGAGTGGGAGGGGGGAAAGCAGGCTTCCCGCAGAGCGGGGAGCCCGATGCAGGGCTGATCCCAGGACCCTGGGATCATGACCTGAGCCGAAGGCAGACGCTTAACGACTGAGCCACCCAGGCGCCCCCCCTCCTTTAAATATTTCTGTCCTGGCGTGCCTGGGTGGCTCAGGTGGTTAAGCGTCCAACTCTTGATTTTTGGCTCAGGTCATGATCTCAGGGTCATGGGATTAAGCCCCAAGTTGGGATCCATGCTCAGAGCAGAGTCTGCTTGAGATTCTTTCTCTCCTTCTCCCTCTGCTCCTCCCTCCGCTCACAAGTGCTCTCTCAGATAAATAAATGAATCTTAAAAAAAATATATTTCAGTCCTGCTTCATCCATGGATACAGAAACTCTCTACCCACTGAACAATAACACCCTATTCCCCTTCCCCCCAACTACTAGTAATCTCTATTCTACTTTCAGTTTCTATAAATTGGCCTACGTCACGAAAGTGGAATCAAACACTGTTGGCCTTTTTGTGATTGACTTATTTCACTCGACATAGTGTCCGCAAGGTTCATTCATGTTGTAGCATGTGCCAGAATTTCATTCCTTTTTAAGGCTGAATAATATTCTATTGTATGTTTATACTAGATTTTGCTTAGCCATTCATCCCTTGATGTACATTTGGATTATTTCCATCTTTTGGCTATTGGGAATAGTACTGCTATGAACATTCGCATACAAGTATCTGTTTGATTCTCTGCTTTCAATTCTCTTGGGTATATATCTAGGCACGGAATTGCTGGATGGTATGGTAAGACTACATTTAACTTTTTGAGGAACCCCAAACAGTTTTCCACAGTGGCTGCACCATGTTACATTCCCACTGCAATGCGCAAGGGTTCTAACTTGTCCCAATCCTAATCAGAACTTGTTCTTTACCATTTTCCTGATAGTAGCCACTCTAGTGGGTGGGAGGTGGTATCGTACTGAGGTTAGAGGGAGCTGATTCTCCCACTGTATACCAAAGATTCCATCCTTTCCATTTGATTTGTAGTGCCACCTCTACATTATGTCTCAGGTTCCTATATATACCTATCTAAAACCCCAAGTTCTCATTAATTAGTTTCTCTATAAGCCATGCCCAGTCCAACACTCTTTTTATTACTGTGTCTTTGTAGCATGTCAAATTTTGAAATCTGTGTGCTCCCTCTTTGTTTCTGAGGTTGACCGGGCCTATCCCACAACATTTGTGAGTCCCAGGGTGAGAACACAAATGGACGCCCACATATTATAAGGCTGAGAGTCTAAAAGTAATAAATTGAGGTAACTATTAAATAAAATTGGATGTACCCTCCTACTTTGAGAAATACATTTCCAATACAAACCTATAAGAAAGGCACTCCCAGCCCTGACCACATTGTGTTCTCAATGTCTGTGTAGGAATCCAGTAGAGCCTCTTCCTCCAGAGAGGGTGCCTACTAATAGCAGAGCCCAGGGCTGTTTCAGCCCCATGGACCCAGCTGCCCCTGCATGGGGCTGAGCTCTGACTAGGTGTTAGAGAATGTCCACAGAATACATAAAGGAATGAGAATTCTACGGAGAACTGTGCTATAGAAGGTCTCAATTTTCCCCTACCCAACACCAGACTCAGGTTGGGACAGATGTGGGCAGCCAGACAAAGATCCCAGTACATCCAGACAGAGGCTGAGAAAGGCCAGTGACCCCAGTGACCAGCACTGCCCTGCAGGATTGGGGAAGTCCTCAAGGGAAGTTCAAGGGGACTGACCCTGGAGGAGACAATGGGGAGGCTTCCCACTGAAGGAGAGGACATGGGAGCCTAGGGATCAGCCTTGGTTTTTCTCCTCAGTTCAGTTCTCCTGAGAAGACTCAGGAAAATAAATCAGCCTAGACTCTTCCTCACAGACAGAAGCACGTTGGTTTACAATTCTACATAGCCCATCATCCATCTTCTGCATTTCTTTTCAGAAATAGATGAATGGAATATTGAAGCCTTAAAACTGGGTCTTGGTAACATGCAGTCCTGTTTCAGGTGGACAAAAGACTGGGAAGGGCTCCTATACAGAGGACACAGTGCAGGCAAAGGAAGGATGGTGGGAAAAACAGTGCACAAAATTTGGGGAACTATGACATCCCCAGGTGGTTGGCATAAGAACAGGGCAGAGCAGTGAATGAGGTCCAGTGTATTCCACCCCCCCCCCAAGACAAGGTCAGGTCAGAGGTGGGAGGGCCAAGAGATCCCAGGAGGAAGGGAAGCAGGGACCATTCACCCCCTCTCACTTAGGACAACACCCAGCAGGGACCATTCACCCCCTCTCACTTAGGACAAAGGTGGATGAGAGAGGCTGCCCGGCCCCCCAGAATGGACGTCAGGGCACAGTGTGTCCACAGTGAAAGTGTCCACAGTGTCCATAGTGAAACAGTCACAGCCCCAGTGATTGTTGGGGGTAAGCTGCCTGAGGCCCGTGCTGTCGTTGGCTGGCTGTGGGGTCCCGGACAGGTAAGTGTCTGAGCCCCTGTGGCCCCAGTTTCTTCCTCTACAAAGTGGTGGTCACAGGCTGTCTCTCACTGCACCCCATTCCTCCTTCCACTGCAGTAGCATTGTGCCCAAGGGCTCCCCCCCTCGGGACCTCTGCCTCCAGGCCACCCCCCACTTTCAATACCTAAGAGGGGCCTCATTTCTCCCCTCTCATTGGCTGGCGACCCCTCCCACCCAGGGGCCTTGAAAGCCTCCTCAAGTGCAGGCCCCTACCGCCCCTCCACTCTCCAGGGCACCTGCCCTTCCCGGCTTTTGGAGTCCCCCAGCCCTATCATGCTCAGGGCCCCAAACCTTCCCATGGCCCCCAAGGCTCCAAGCACCCCCCACCCCGCCCGCAGCCGCCCAGCCCGACAGACTCTTCCATTTCCCAAGTAGAAAACATTCACTGCAAGTTTACTGAGTGCCCGCCCTACTCTGAGCAGAGCTCCGTTACAGGCTGCAGAATTCCCTGGTAAACGTGGGCTCCACTTCTGCACCCCCGTTCTTAGTTGTCAGAGCTCGGGCGGGGCCCTTGACTTCTCTGGGCCTCGACTTCCCCTTCTCGCTCGTGGACTAACCACCCCTCCTGGGTGGAAAAGGAGCCCAGTCCAGGCTCCGGGGCTAACAGAGGCGGCGCCTGAGGCAGAGCGAGGCCAAGCGCTCGCGCTGGCTCCCACAGCCAGGCCTCCTTGCCGGCGGCCAGGTAGGTCAGCGCGCGGGTCGGGGCTCGGGGCACGGGACCGGCCGGCCGCAGCCGCATCCAGGCCCGGGCGGGTCGCCAGGTGAGCGCGCCCAGGAGCTCCACACGCGCCGCCGGCGGCCTTGCGTCCACCCGGCGGACTTCGGGTCATGGAGCCGCGCGCGGGGGGCGCCACGGACCCCAGGGGGAGCAGAGGAGGTACGGGGGAGGGGGGGCCTGGGCGCGTCCCTGCCAGCCCTCGCCCCGTCTGTCTGCTCCTCACCTTTTCCTTCCGACAGGTGGTAAACAAAGCAGCCCTGGCGCCCAAGTGGCGGGCGGGCGGGCGGGCGGGCGCCGGGCGGCCGGCGTTGGGCTCGAGGTCCCCGACCCGCACCTGCACCTGCACCCGCACCCGCACGCGCACCCGCACCCGCACCCGCACCGCGGGGCTGCGCACCAGACCCGGGGGCTCTCAGGAGTCTCCGGGGAGATGTGCCACAGGGCTCTGCCTTGGGGTCACTGGGGACACCCGTGGGCACTCAGGGTCTGTAGTGAATTGCGGGGGGGTGGCGGTTAGGCGGGGGGGCCTCTGGGTATAAATGGAGGGGCAACTGGAGCTCCGTGGGCCATCAAGGTTGCCTAGGATATCTGGAAGGGGAATCGGGGTTGCCGGCGCCACAGCAGGGGCAGACCGTCCTCTGTCGGGACATCTGGGGGAATCGGGGTCCCTCTCGCTACTGTGCGGGAAGACTTTGGAATCTGGGGTTATGAAGGGGCAGTCGGAGACCTCCAGAGATAGTCCCAGGGTGCTGGGAAGTGTCCAGGAATACTTCGGTCAGATAGCTCTCTCCAGGGATATCGTGGGCGCAGGCGGGGGTCCACGGGCATACCCGCGATGGTCGGGGGTCGCGGGAGTTGGGAGGGGCAGTGGGAGACCTCCGGAACTATCGAGAGAGTGGCCGGGGGGGCTCCGAAGATCTTGAGGGGCATTCTAGGTTTCGGACGTCGGGGAGCGTGGGGGTTCGCCGAGGCTCGGGCGGGTGCTGACCTGTTCTTTCCACCCGCGCAGGCCGGGGCCTTCCGCTGCGGGCGGGCCCCAGAGCCCGGCAGCTCCTGGCGCGGCTGGACGCGCGCCCCCTGGCGGCCCGAGCTGCGGCCGACGTGGCGGCGCTGGTACGCAGGACGGGCGCCACATTGCGCCTGCGCCCCAACGCGGGTGCGTGTCGGGGGCGGAGCGGGGCCTCCCGCGGGGCGCGGTCTGAGTGGAGCCGGATTCCGAAGTGGCGGACCCGGGATTGTTAGTTACTCCCCTGGGTGGGGCTAATGGGTGTGACTGGCGGCGGGGCGGGGCTTGGAGGGAGCTTCGAGGGGGCGGAGCCTTGGCGGTATCCTAGACTATTCCTCCAGGAGGTGACCCTGGGAAAGTTATTGCGTTGGGTGAATGTTGCATGGCTCGTTGTGGGTGCAGGGCTGGATGGTTATCCCTGTCACTGGGGCTTCGCAAGGCATTTCTGAGGAGGTGGGGCCTGGAGAGTGTTGGGGGCGGGCAGTTGGCTGAGGGGCGGGCCTGGAAAAAAAAAATCCACTCTAGGGGGTGGAGCCTACAAACGCCAGGGGGAGGGATCGAAATGTCAGATATGGGTTGAAGTTTAGAGGCCAGTTAGAGGGCGGAGCCTGAAAAGTTCAGGAGCCCAATCATGGATTTGCACCCCCCTCTCCCCGCAGTGGGGGCCTAAGGATGTAATATGAGGAGCGGGATCTTCGCGTTCTTAGAGGACTATAGGATGGTCTGGAGGTGTATTCGAATAGCCGGGACTAGGATTAGTTAAGAAGGGGGCTTTGCAATGAATTCTTTGTTGGCTGTCCTGAGGACAAAAGACTTCACTTTGGGCCTATGGCTTTCTTTTTAACACTCCCAAGAATTCCAAAGGAATTATACCAAAATTCTGATGTGCTCCCAATAATAAAACAAAGGAGTACTCACCAAACAAACTAGTACTCACTAAGAGGAGTATGACCAAAAAAAAAAAAAAAAATGTCTTAAACAGATCCTGAATTAAGTTGGAAAGCTGAACCGAAGGGAGGAAATTCAGAATCCTAAAAGAGACTCACCAAACTGGGAAGTAGACCGTGACTCACAGACGTGATTAGTGCAGGGGGCTCCGTGTGGGTACGTCACTTGATTCCCTGGATCATCATTCTTCGGGGGTCATCTCCTTTGGATCCCACTTCTGACTCCAAGGAATATTAACCTAAATAAAGAGGTAAACTTGGGGCACCTGGGTGGCTCAGTCAGTTAAGCGTCTGTCTTCTGCTCGGGTCATGATCCCAGAGTCCTGGGATCCAGCCCGGCATTGGACTCACTGCTCAGCGGGAGTCAGCTTCTCCCTCTCCCTCTGTGTTCTCCCTCTCTCTCAAATAAATAAAATCTATAAAAAAAAAAAGAGGTAAACTGAGGCAAGCTCACAATGATGAGTTTATTTGGAAATAGAGGAATTGGAATTTGGGACTCATCTGTAGCTTGCTACAGTTTGGGTGTAAGAATGGCAATTTCTCTGATATTCCCAAATAAACTCATCTTTTTGAGCTTGCCTCAGTTTGCCTCTTTATTTAGATTGACATTTATAAAAGCTGCTTTGTAGTCTTTATCTGCTGTGTATCTTTAAGGATGCCCAGGGCCTCTAAGCCTGGAAACATGGCCACGAGTTTGATTATTGTGCTTCCTGTTTTCAAGATCGCTCTCTGACCCACCATATTATTCTACTTTCCAAACATTTTGACTATGTCCCACTTTCATTTAAGTATATTTATAGCTTCACATTTAAAGTTTCTAGTATATGTGTTCCATCCAAGGAATGTGCTATAATTCATTTATCCCGTCCCCTTCTGTTGTTTATTTAAGTGGTCTTCAATGTTTTGCTACAATAAATAATACTATGATGAATCTCATATAAAAATCTTTTTTGGGGCACCTGGGTGGCTCAGTAGGTTAAGCAGCTGACTCGATTTCAGTTCAGGTCACGATCTGGGGTTCGGGGGCTTGAGCCTAAAGTCGGACTCCCCAATTGTTGGGGAGTCTGCTTGAGATTCTATCTCTCCCTCTCCCTCTGCCCTTCCCCTGCCTCTCTAAAATAAACAAATAAATCTTTTTTAAAAATTTTATTTATTTGTCAGAGAGAGAGAGAGAGCACAAGCAGGGGGAGCGGCAGGCAGAGGGAGAAGCAGACTCAATCCCAGGACCCTGGGATCATGACCCGAGCCAAAGGCAGACACTTAACCGACTGAGCCACCCAGGCATCGCATAAATAAATAAATCTTTAAAAAAAAATCTTTTTGTGGGGCACCTGGCTGGCTCAGTCAGAGGAGCATGTGACTCCTCATCTCAGGGTGATGAGTTCGAGCTTCACGTTGGGTGTAGAGATTTCTCTTTTTTTTAAGATTTTATTTTTTTATTTTTTAAAAAGATTTTATTTATCTGTTTATTTGTTTAGAGAGTGCACAAGCTGGGGGAGGGGCTGAGGGAGAGGGAGAGAGAGAGAATGCCAAGCAGACTGCGTGCTGGAGCGTGCAACCCATGCAGAGCTCGATCTCACAACCCTGAGATCACAACCCAAGCGAAAATCAAGAGCCAGATGCTCAACCAACTGAACCATTCAGGCACCCCTAAAGATTTTATTTTTTTAAGTAATCTCTACACCCAACATGGGGCTCGAACTCACCACTCTGAGATCTAAGAGTCGCGTGCTCCACCAACTGAGCCAGCCAGGCGCCCCGAGTATAGAAATTTCTTAAATAAACTTAAAAAAAATCCTTTCACACATCTTTAATGATTTCCTTGGGATGAATTGTTGGCAGATATCTAGTATTCTTTCTGGTGACTATTTAAGTATCAGTCTTCTGATTTACAAGCTCTTAATGATGTAGGCAGGCTGGGTCTAAGGACCCAGAGGGGGTCCCGCAGGACCAGCCAAGAGAGTCCTTGGCTTCATACAGGATAGAAATCAAATGTGAGCCAAGAGGAAGTAAGAGCAGAGTTTACTGAAGATATAGAGAGAGTGCAGATACAGTGTCTGGGAGACTCAGAAAGGAAAGGAAAGTGTTTTGTTTTTGCTTGGGTCTGGGGCTTTTATTGAGGATTGTGGTCTGGTATAAGTGTCCTCTCAGGCACCCAGAAACTGGTCAGAACTAAAAAGGTCCAGGTGTCCTCCATAAGTCACTAATTCCTTGGAGTTAGGGAGTCTTGGCATCAAGATGTCTAGCTCTGGTGGTCTGGAATATACACATGATGGCCTCACCTAGTCATTTCTTAGAAGTTATCTATTGTAGGGTACCTGGGTGGCTCAGTCGTTAAGCGTCTGCCTTCGGCTCAGGTCATGATCCCAGGGTCCTGGGATCGAGTCCCGCGTCGGGCTCCCTGCTCAGCGGGAAGCCTGCTTCTCCCTCTTCCATTCTCCCTGCTTGTGTTTCCTCTCTCACTGTGTCTCTCTCTGTCAAATAAATAAATAAAATCTTTTACAAAATAAAAAGTTATCTATTGTGCTGGAAGACTCCAAAGAAATCATTAACTCCTTGATCCTTACAAAGAGAACATACATTATTTGTATTACAAGGAATATGTAAGGCAAGTGTGCTGGTCCTAGCAAGAATAGAAGCAGGAAAATGGGCAAAAAAGTAGCCCTTCATGGGGCCCCTTCATTTTCCCTATCTCTTTATGGTCCTACACAAGAGGAATCTGTCCCATTAATCTTTCAAAGCCTTAGAACCTCGCTCTCACACCAGCATATTTAATGCTGGTAGTATAAGCAGAAATAGTTAGGGATCCCTGGAAAAAGAAAGATGAGGCATAGCTTTCATGACATGAGAAAAGTCACTTTAGGCCCCTGATCATCTTGTAATCTATGCCTGACCAGCACTACTTACCGAAAGCACATTTCTTGCAGAACTTCCTGAGATGCGTTGAAATTGCAGAATAGACCTCAGTATATAATGATTTGAAGGAAACAAAAGAATGTGAGAACAAACAGACATTATCAGGCCAGGAGATAGCCTAAGTATATCAGGGACAATAAATCATGGTAAAACTCCCAGTGCTGATTCAAAAGTAAAGATTGACACTTGAGTCATCTTTGCAGGATTTAAGCCCCTTTGAGCACTCAAATACTGGACCATTTGGAGCCAGAGAATTGATGATGCTGACCCTTGCCAGCTCTCGTGTCTTCAATTAACTTAAGACCTGGGTTCAGTCCCCTTAAGATGACTTTTGCCCCAATTCCATGCTGAATTCCCTACTTTGCAAGCCCTTCCATGAATATATATGCACCTTTAGTTTAAAACTCACCCACTTTTTGTTGTTGAAGGAGACACTGCTTTGGGAAATATCTCCAGTAGTCTCCTTCACTCGTGGCAAGTAAAACCTTATCTTTTCCTATTCTTTGCTTGGATGTGTCTTTTGGCTCCATATCCATCAAGAGGCGAACCCAGTTTTGGGTAACAGTAGGAACTACAGTTTACCCTTGAACAACATGGGTTTGAACTGCATGGGTCCATTTATACCAGGATTTTTCCCAATAAATACAGTATAGTACTATAAATGTATTTTCTCTTCCTCGTAATTTTATTTTATTTATTTATTTGAGAGAGAGAGAGAACATGACAGGTATGGGGGGCGAGGGAGAGGGAGAAGCAGACTCCCCGTTGAGCAGGGAGCCCAATGTGGGACTTGATCCCAGGACCCTGGGATCATGGCCTGAGCTGAAGGCAGACGCTCAATGAGCTGAGCACCCAGGCGCCCTCAGCTCATGTCTTGATCTCAGGGTTGTGAGTTCAGGCCCTACACTGGGCTGCACGCTGGGTGTGGAGCCTACTTAAAAACAAAACAACAGGGGCGCCTGGGTGGCTCAGATGGTTGGGCGTCTGCCTTCGGCTCAGGTCATGATTCCAGGGTCCTGGAATCAAGCCCCACATTGGGCTCCTGGCTCAGCGGGGAGCCTGCTTCTCCCTCTCCCTCTGCCTCTCCACCTGCTCATGCTCTCTCTCTCTCTCTCTCTGTATCTCTGTGTCTCAAATGAATAAATTTAAAAAATCTTAAAAAAAAACACAAACCAAAACAACAACAAAAAACCTCCCAAAACAAAAATAATACTACATGTAAGAAACAAAACATGTGTTAATCTACTGTTTATGTTATCATTAAAGTTTCCGGTCAATGGTAGGGTGTTAGTAGTTAAGTTTTGGGGGAGTCAAAAGTTACACGCAAATTTTCAACTGTGGGGGCAGGGGATTGGCCCCCCAACCCCTGCATTGTTCAAGGGTCAACTGTGTATATATATATATATATATATATATATAAAATACCTGTTTAAGTGTTATTGTTCCCCACTGGACTATCAGCCTCTAGAAAGGAGGATGTCTATTTTAATAATATTTGAATCCAGAGCTTGTTGTGTATTAAATCTGGCATCGGTAGGCACCATTTATTTTTTTTATTAATTTTTTTTTTAAGATTTTATTTATTTATTTGAGAGAGAGAGAAAGCATGAGGTGGGGAGGGTCAGAGGAAGAAGCAGACTCCTCGCTGAGCAAGGAGCCCGATGCGGGACTCGATCCCGGGACTCCAGGATCATGACCTGAGCCGAAGGCAGTCGCTTAACCAACTGAGCCACCCAGGCGCCCGGTAGGCACCATTTAAATGTCTATTTGTTATTGTACACAACTGGCACTCACAGATTTTTTTCTTAATGGTGTATTTTATCTACATTTCCCATACCAGTAGGGCACAGTAACGTGCACACAGTAGGTAATTAATAAATACTTGTTGACCTCCTATAGGAAGGAAGAACGAATCCACCTCTGCCACACCTACCTCACCCAAGAACTACATTTCCCTTTATGCTTGGCGCAACGCACTCCTGTGAAGTGAAAAGAGCGACAATTACTTCCTAAGGCCCCTTTTTTTCACCTTCGCCCGCCGATGCCGCAGTGTTCTATGGGAAAGGTAGTTCTAGCGCTCGTTGTCTGGCCCCGCTCAAACTGAACCCAAACTAAACTTCCCAGCAAGCAGCGCACTCGCCTGGGAAAGAGGGGCAAGATGGCGGATGCTGAAGAGGGTTCTTTGCGGCCGGCAGGAGCCTCCGCTGCCCCAATTTCGTTCAGCTTCAGTCGCACATCTGCCCGGAGACGGCTCGCGGACGACGCGGGTGCGGCTCCAGAGGAGAAGGATTTCTTAAAGACCGTGGAAGGGAGGGAGCTGCAAAGGTGAAGCGCCGGGTCTTTCATCCCTTGGAATTTGGTTCGGTGGGTGCAAGCGGGAGGGTGGAATCTGAGTTGATTGTCTTGGTGGCGGTGGTCTGGAACGCCTGAAGCACAGCCTGGGAAAACTCGTGGAGGCGAGAAGGCGGGAGTGTGGAACAGGAGAGGTGGGGAAATTGGGCCTGACAGCCGTGGCGTTTGAGAAAAGAGGATGTATTCCTGAGAGGGTGCGTCTTTAGGACTTGAGGACCCTGAGGTGTGTGCGTTCTGAGAGAAGGGAAGGAGTGAAGAATGACAGGACCCCTAGTGTCTCAGCTGAAGCGGTGGAGCTTCACTAGTATGGGGAACGGGGTGGAGTGGCAGATTCGGGTTGGGGGAGACCATCATCAGCTTAGTTCAGAAAGGAGAGTCAGAGGGAGAGGCTTCCAGAAGAAAATCAACCATCCAGGAGATTGATGTGAACCCTGGATCTGGGGAGAGTCTGGGCTGAAGATGGTGATTTGTGAGTCATTGTGAAGGCCATGGATGTGGGTCTTGGGATGAGCAGAGGGTCCAGGACTGAAGGTTGATTCCTCAAAGGCACTGACATTTAAGAGTTGGGGGTGAGGGAGAGAATCCAAAGAAAGCACCATTAGGGGCGCCTGGGTGGCTCAGTTGGTTAGACGTCTGCTTTCTGCTCAGGTCATGGTTCCGGGGTCCCGGGATTGAGCTCCACATCCGGCTCCCTGCTCGGCGGGAAGCCTGCTTCTCCCTCTCCCACTCCTCCTACTTGTGTTCCCTCTCTCGCTGTCTCTCTCTCAAATAAATAAATAAAATCTTTAAAAACAAACAAACAAACAAAGCACCATTAGAGACCTGACAGGAGAGCAGACAGTGTGGTCCATCTGGGGTGGGGGGTGAGTTTGGCCCTTTCGTTTTCTCTGAAGGGAGGAGTGTGGCTCAGAACCCACTGACCATGCTCCTCTCCCAACTTCATGCCGCTGTGTCCATATCAGTGTGAAGCCCTCAGAAACCCCCAAGGAACTCGTCATCCCTTTGATCAAGAATGGCCATCGCAGGCAGCCACCGACCCAGGCCCCTGGGCCATCCACAAATACTGAGGCCTTGGTGGATGGGGTGCTGTCCCAGGCTGTGAAGGAGCTCATTGAGGGTGAGTGATCCCCTCTTTGCCTTGCCCCAGTGAAGGAAGAGGGGGAGGAAAATGGAAGGATAGGGTGGGACCTCATTGCTCCCTCCCATTCTTCCTTAGACTCCAAGAAGTCCCTGGAGGAGAGAGAGAATTCGGGTGTCGACCCCACGCTTGCTATCCCCATGATCCAGAAAGGATGCATCCCTAACGGGGAAGGGGCAGACAGCGAACCCCGGGCTGAGACAGTGAGCTGGCCCCTAACTCCTCCTACCCCAGCCTCCCTTTGCCCTGTCTGCCAGGCTTGCCTCTCTGCACACAGCAGGGAAAATCTGTGTGTGTATTAGAGGCCTGCTGCCTATCCCTTTCTCCCTCTGTCCTTTTTTGGAAGCATTAACGAATGAATCCAGATACTGAGGTGTGGAAAACACTTGCATTCTGGGATTATCTGAGTAAGATGAGGAGCTAAGGGAACAGGAAATGCAAAGATCCTGAGGGTAGACTCAGCCTGGAATGTTTAAGGAACACCAAGGAGACCAGTGTAACTAGAGTGGAATGAGTGAAGAGGAGGAGGGGGAGACGAAGTCAGAAGTGGCAGGGGCTAAACTAAGCAGGGCCTTGTGGACCAGATGAGAGCCATGAGAGGGTTCTGAGCGGAGAGGGGTCAAGCCTTAAGATTTGACAGGATCTCTCTGGCTACTGTAAGCAGAACAGAGTAGTCAGCAAAGGCGGAAGCAAGGAGACCAGTAGCACAGGCTGGAAATGATGGCCACTCAGACCAGAGTGGTAGGAGTGAGGCCTGGAAGGACAGGTCGGGTTTAGTGAGTGAGGGAAGATCAGGGTGAGGACTAATGGCAGCAACAACCGGAGCAGTGGCACGGTGGCAGGGAGTCAGTGTGGTGTGGGTCCATCAGTGAAGCAACCTGCAGTGTGTCTAAAGTGAATATAAAGAATTGAGGGGGGGATAAAAAGGAATCAAGGGAGTGAGGATGGGAAATGATAAATAACAGGGGAAGTGAGGGGTGTGTCTACAGAAGCAACCAAGTCTGTCTTTCATACCCACGGACCCCACTTTTCACCGCTTAAGTCACAATTTTTTTAGCAATGCTTCTTTGGGGCCTAGTTCTCCTACCGCCCCAAGACCGTCTTCTCTTTCGACTGAACTGTTCTCATTGGCCTTCAGCTGTCTTCTGGTTTCTTTCATCTTAAAAAAAGACCTTCACTTCACTTTCCATCCTGTTCCCACTTTGGCCTCATTTCTCTCATTTCCTCTCCTTCCCCAGCCTTCAGCATCTCAGTGGGTCACAGTTGCATCCATCCTTCCTCTCACTCAGCCTAAAAACCTTAGAGTCACTCTTGACTCCCCTCTTTGTTTCATACACCTTATGCAGGCTTTCAGCAAAATCCTGTCATCTCCCTTTGCAGAATACATCCAGAATCTGACCACTTTTCACCAGCATCTACCTACCACTCTGGTCTGAGCCACCAGCATCTCTCATCTGGACTGTTGCAGTAACTTCCTCATGGGCCCCCTTTTGGTGGCCGCCCTCCTGCAGCTCCAGCCCAGACCTCCTGATTAATCTCTCACCGCCCCTCTCTGCCTCCACATCTCTTTTTCAGTCAGGTTGACTTTCATGATGCTCTTCCCACATACCAAACTTGTCCTGCCTCAGGGCCTTTGCTCATACTGTTCTCTCTGCTTGGACTACCCGTCCTTCTCACATCCTTATGGCTCCCTCTGTCATCTCTTTCTGGTCTCTGCTCAGATACCAACTCAGTGATATTCCCTTCTCCATCCCTCTGCATCCCCTCAATCTGCTTTATTTTTCTTCATATAACTTACCACTACCTGACATACCCTGTTTTATGTATTTTTTTTATTCTGTGTCTCTACAACTAGAATGTCAGCCCCACAGGGCAGGATCGGGGGGTTTTGTCTGTTTTGGTCACTGCTTTACCCTCATCAGCTAGGTCAGTACCTGGCACAGAATAGGTGCTTTATAATTATTTGTTGAAGGACAATGTGGAGGACTAAAGTGAGGGACAGCAAGAGGAAATCAAAACTGACCTTGAGCTTACTGGAAAAGAAGCACTGAGGGTCATCCGCTGGGTTAGTAAACGTGCTTCTGAGGGCCCACCATGGGCCCAGCCTGACCATCCTTTCTCTGCTGAACCTGTAGGTGCCGGAGGAAGCTGATTACGAGGCAGTCCCCGTAGAGGCCTATGGGCTGGCCATGTTACGAGGCATGGGCTGGAAACCTGGCGAGGGCATTGGCCGCACCTTCAATCAGTGAGTTCTAGGGTAGGGGCAGGGGGCAGCAGACAGGGCAGTGAACAAGACCCCCATGAGTTACCGCCTGTCCAGAACCATCCAGGCAGGGAGAAGGCATGTCACCACCCTAAGTAATTCAGTAAGCCTTTCCACTACTGTTTCAGTTTCCTGTTTGCCCTTTGAAACTCTGTAACGGGAACCCGTTTATGTATAGGTTACCTTTCTGAGCATCACCTTCCTCATCTGCAAAATGGGGATAGTGATAATACTGATTTCCCAGGTCTGTTGCAGAATTACATGAAATTATGCACATAAAGCACTTACAGCAGGCCCTGGCCCCAAATAAACATAGACGAGACATTTGCTGTTATCACTCAGACTTAGGATCCCTTCTCCGTTTTCAACTCCCAAGAATTCTGAAAACCATTTTTTTCATAAACCACTTAGTAGCCAAACATGACCTGAATTGATGGAGAGCATATTATAGTTGATTTCTCCTGCTTGGCGTGAATATTTGTACGATTTCCCCTGTAGAAATATTAGGGTATTTGATTATAGGGATCTGCTTTAGATGCCACTGTAGATAATATGTAAAAGATGGTATATCCAGTGTGTTATTAGGTTGGACCAAATGAAATTGCTATTTCTATAGATCAAAAACAGTCCTAATGTGAGATCAGGAAGGATATTCTTGACATGTTGACAGGGTGGGATTTGGGTGGTGGTAGTGGGGACACTGAAGACTTGCACACACACACACACACACACACACACCCTCCCCGTATCCCTGGCCCAACAAGCTCCTATACTGTGCTCCCTGCAGAGTGGTGAAGCCCCGTGTCAACTTACTGAGGCCAAAGGGGCTAGGGCTGGGCGCCAACCTGAATGAGGTCCAGGCCCTGGTCTCCACTGGCCCCCACCACCAACCAAAGCCAGATGAGGAGCAAGAGAAGGATAAGGAAGACCAGCCTCGAGGACTGGTGCCTGGAGGGGCTGTGGTGGTTCTTTCCGGCCCTCACCGAGGCCTCTACGGGAAGGTAAGGAACCACCCTAGGCCTAGAGCCCAAGACCGGCAGCAGAGAAGATTGATGTGAGGGGTCAGAGGGAGGAGGAATTGATGGAAAGCCTGGATGGGAGTCCTTGTCTTTCAGGCCTGCCTGGCTTGCTGCCTCACTCGGTAACTCAGAACCACTTGCTGGGCCTTTCTGGGCCTCAGTTTCCAACTGAGAGAGAGAGAATGCCATATGCCACATGTTCCTGAGACTTAAATTCTTTAAAATATATCCAAGGCACACAGTCTGGTAGGGGAGACACATGGACCAGGCCCAGTCCCAGACCTTGGGCCAGTCTGGTGGGGGAGACACAGGGGTCAGGCCTATTGGAGGTAAGAGTGGATAGCTTGGTCCTAGGAATGTGGGTTTAGTCCTCTCAACCCCTGCCTAACTTCTTCCCCCCAACACTTCAGGTAGAAGGCCTCGATCCTGACAATGTTCGGGCCGTGGTTCGCCTGGCCGTGGGGAACCGCATGGTGACTGTTAGTGAGTACTGCCTGCGGCCTGTTTCCCAGCAGGAGTTTGACAAGAACTGCTTGGATCTCAGTGAGTGAGCCTCCCACCTTGCTGGGAGAGTTGGAGAAGCATTCCAGGCGGGGCACTAGAGCCTGTCTCGGGCAGGGGCGGGGGGGGCGGCGAGGCTGGGGGGGGCGGGTGTCGGATCCACAGAGGGGAAGGGCCGCGGTCTGCCTGGCAGGTGTGTCATCTGGTCAGAGGTCAGGGGGTGAGAGCGAAGATAAATGGTTTTTTCAGTCTGAAGAAAAATTGATCTAGTTACCCTGGGGCTTTAGCCTCTTTCTGAGAGAGAAAAAACAGGTATAGAAACCTATGCCTATCCTCAGGAGGTCTGTCTGTTCAAGGTGATGAGCCTCTCTTCTTCTAGAATGTGAGGGCACCTGGGACTAGGCCATGACCAAGGAGGAAGGCAATCCAGGCATGGCAGCAGGATGGGGGCAGTTTGGCAGATGGGAGATTGGTGCTGACAGAGCTCTCGGATTTCCCTAGCCCACACTAGGTGGTTGCCTCAGATCAGTACCATCAGCACATGCTGGAGTGGCTAAGGAAGGCATCCTGAAGGAAGCCCCAGCAGTTGAGGGGAAGGGGAGAGCATTCTAATGGCACCAGCAAAGTTGTGATGGTGGGAGGGGACACTGAGGCAGGTGGGAGGTGGCCCGAGGCCGAGGTGTAGCCTGCCAGGTCAGAGAATGGCACACTGAGGCTCCTTCCTGGTTCTCCACACACTCTTGCACAGGCCAGATGAGCAAAACTTCCCCAGGGCAACAGAACGGAACAGCCTCGTCATGGAAGGCCCTCCCGGATCAGGACCTTTCCGGCCGGTGGGAGGACTCAGAGAGGAAGCGGAAACACCTTCCTGACCGGTGGGACCCTGGGCATCTGGGATAGGGGGAGAAGGCAAGGCTGTGGAAGCGTTCTAGCAGTCAGAGAAGGCTTCCGGGGCAAGGCAGGCACATAGAAGGAACTGGGGACGGCATTCTGGGTGCGTGTCACAGCCGCAGAGGTGGGGGGACCGGAACGTGCGTCTGAGCAGCTAAGCCTCGCATTGGCCCCTTTCCACAGACAGGAGGAGCCTGCAGCCAAGAGTGAGAAGGCCGGCCCCCGGAGCCAGCACTGGTTGCACAGGGACCTGCGCGTGCGCTTTGTGGACAGGCAGCACAAGGGCGGCCAGTATTACAACACCAAGGTGGGAACCCTGCAACCTGGTGCCCCCTCCGCCCCCAGGGACTAGGCCCCCGTAACTCTAACGTTCTCACACCCCCTGGCCCTCTACCCAGATGACGATTGAAGATGTCCTCAGCCCAGATACCTGTGTGTGTAGGACAGACGAAGGCCGGATCCTGGAAGGTGAGTGTGAGGGATGACCACTGGGTCGTCACCATCCCGGAGGCCGAGTGGGAAGGCTGTCTTCGACCAAGAGGCTGGCATGGGCAAAGGCTGGGAGGTTGGGCAGAGTTCAGGTATTTTGCAAGGCCCAGAATCTTCCTTGTCAGAACCTGAGGCGCTTCTGTGATGGTGATTATCTCAGCCCCTCTTTCCCCGTGAGCGAGTACTGGCATAAAAATGAGCTCTTTCTCCCTCTGAGGACTGGGCCTCGTACGGATGTGTACGGAACTCCCCATGCAGGGCAGGCAGGTGACACGCCCATAGTAAACGGGATCAGTTGCCATCACCCACCATCTTTGTGCATAAGTGCTCCCTTTCTTATCGTTATTTCTAGGAACTGCTCCTTAGGTGTCCTTGCCTGTGAAATGGGGTGCTGGGACCCCTACCTGTCAACAGGGTGCAGGGTGGCTCTGGGCAATACAGGAAAGGCCTTCTGACAGGACCCTGGGTGGGCTGGCCCTGGCCGAGGGCCTCACTCACTCCCCTTTCCTCATCTGCAGGCATAAAGGAAGGCATGCTGGAGACCCTGGTCCCCAAGGTCGAGGGCAACCGGGTGATGGTGGTGCTGGGGCCACAGGCTGGAAGGGTGAGTCTCAGACCTGGGTGTGGGTGGGCAGGGGCCATGCAGGGGCTGTCCCAGCGTCCGGGTTGGCCTTGCTGACTCTACCCGCCACTACTCCAGGTGGGCCACCTGCTGGGCCGGGACACAGAACGGAGCCGGGCTCTGGTGCAGCTGCGAAGAGAGAATCAGCTGGTGGAGCTTCACTATGATGCTGTCTGCCAGTATGTGGGCCCCAGGGACTCTGATGAAGACTGACCTGCGGCCCCACTCCCACCCCCACCCCACCATCCCCGGCCTGCTGCCGGCTCTGTACAGTGTGAAAAGCCTGTCTTCGCAGAGGTGGGGAGGTCACCATTCCGCCGTCTGCTTGCACTGCAGCTCCAGGACAAGGACAGGGACAGGGCACGAGATAGACGGACCAGAAGGGAGGCTCGAAACGAACTGAGTATTTTCCAGAAGTTAGTGTGTAATAAAAATCATTTCCCAAACTTAGTAGAATGATGAGATCATAAATGTGTGCTGAGCTGAGTGGAAGTGGGAGCTGGGCTGACTGAGGTGGGAGCCATTCCGGGCTTCAGCCCCACAGCCCTGTAGGGGCTGACAGACAAGTCAAAGGATCCACCTGCTCACAAGCTCATTCTTGGAACACCGAAGCCATGAAGTGTGTCCCTTGAGCAGATACTACGGAGCCTGGAATGCCGCCTCTCTGCACAACTTTCTGAGTGAGTGAGTGGCTCTGCTTTTACTTTTGGCCCAGATCAGATACCTCGCGCCAGTGACGAGAGTCCAGAGGAAAGGGAGGCTTCTACCCACAAATAGGCTATGTTTGTGCTACCTCCCAGAGCGGCCAGTTAATTTGGGGGCCCCCATTTTAGGCTCCAAACTTTGGCTTGACGGTAAAAAAGTTTTGTGTGTCCCGGGTAGAATTTCTCTGATTCCTCCAGGTAACTGGACTCTCAGAAAGGTTATTGTCAGTCCTTAAACTTTTTCCTATTTAATGGGCTGAGATAGAAAAGCAGCAAGGGAAGCCAGAGCTTTAGGCACAATTGCTTCTAAATTATCCCCAGTCACTAAGTTGTTGATGTAATAAATGGTGTATGAGCTAGATCTATACCCCCCAGTATAAATTCATGACCTGTCAGAACATGGCACAGCACTGGAGAATTTTTTTTTAAATAACTGAATTATCGCATTGAAATTCTTACAACTCTTTTTTTCTGATTAAATCTTTAAAAAATTGTTTTTAATTGTTGAAGTATAATTGACATACAATGTTATCTTAGTTTCAGGTGTACAGTATAGTGATTTGACAATTCTGTACGTGACGCCATGCCCACCATGCGAAGTGTACTCACCAATGTTATTACGATGTTACTGACTCCCTTCTCTATGGTGTACCACATCTCCCTGACTTACTTACTTTCTTACTTACTTATTTGTTTGTTTGTTTGTTCATTTATTTATTTGGTAACTGGGAGTTTGTACCTCTTAATCCCCTTCACCTATTTTGCCCATCCCCCTCCTCTTTGGCAAACATCCCCTAGAGCAGAATAATAAAGCTAAGCGGCTGTCCCTGCCAAGCAGAGGCAGACTGCTGTTTTGAGCCAAAATTGAGCCAATACAGAAAAACAGTGAGTTGGCCAATTCAGTGGCCATATGCCGAGTAAGGTAAGGGATGATCAGAAAACCTTCCAGTCTCATACCCCATTGTGCAGTACACTCACAAAGACCAATTTTATGGATTTCCTGGTTTGTCATCCCTAATTAATTCCAGAACTCATCTGTTTTCAAGATTGGCCTAGCAGGGTGGTTAAGGCAGACAGCAGAGGACAAACCCCCACCCCCAGTTGCTCCAGTTCCTGAGTTGTAGTGCTGATTGTCCACACTGCCCCCTGACTCCCCGGCTGGGTTATATTTTTCATGTTGTGGGGAAGGAATGTCACGCCTTCTCAAGGTTCCCAATCTAGCATGTCCAGTAGTCTAGTTCCCATGTTGTATGTGCTACATTCAGTCAAGAAGGCCTCCTCCTTTCTCCAAATCGTAGTAAATTCATCTTGGTAACACCCTCGAGAAGAGCTTAAAGTTTCCTGCACCGGTCCCCTGTCTCTGCCCTGCAGTGTGGCATAACCTGGCAGTTTCAGACAATCCCTCTCCTCCCTGCGCCATGATACTGAAGATAGATCTTTCATCAGATTTCAGTTTCCTGGAGTTGACTGTCTTCTCCTGAGCCTGTCTTCAGAAACGGGGCCTGCAGTTCTTGAATACACCCCCGTGTCCAGAACGCATAGCCCTAGCAGAGCACCTGGTCTCCCAACAGACCATCGCGGCTTTTTGTGCTTCCCTGAGTGGATCCCTCCTGATCCCTCAGTTCCAGGACAGGCTCCTTACGTCCCAGGAAGTGTGGACAGTATCAGGAGGCTTTCCCAGTCTGTCCCTTGTTCATTGCGCGCAAGGAAAATTCGGTCTCGGCGCTCTGCCTGCTGCTTGCCGGCTGCCAAGGTTGCCCCTTTGGCCGCAGTTGCAGCAACAGCTGCGAGCCTGTGAATTCTCTTCCCGCCACCCGCAAGCCAGGGACCGTGACACGTACAATTTGTTCAGGCTGGCTTCCTCCACGTCACGGGGAATGAACAAGATGTGGGTGAGAAAGCATCTGCCTCCCCTGCTGAGTCTCCAGAAGTCTCCCTGGCAGGTTGCTGCCTCTGTTAGACGCTGTCCAGACACAGTCGTGAATTCGTGGCAGCAGACTCAAGAAGCAGATTCTTTGCCTTTCAGAGAGGAGCCAATTATTTGGGCCCTTAGGACTGTGGCCTGGGGCTGAGCTTGGTGGCAGATAACGTGCAGTTAGATTCTCCTCTGATATTCCTTCCTCAGCCAGGGGCTCCTCTCCTCCGCTCCCAGGTTGGGGCCTCTTAACCTCCATGTTCTGGCACCACGCAGAACGATGAAGGACCCAATAAGGGTCCTTGGAAAGCTGCACAAGGGGCTGTGGGTCCTCACCAAGTGCCACTATTGCCCCAATCCATTCAACAGGCGTCTCTTGAGCCTCCACTGTATTCCAGGCACCATTCCGCATGCTAGGGATACAGAAGAGAGTAAATCATTCAACAAATGAGTCCCTACTATATGCCAGACGTGATTCTAAATACTGGGGATACAGCCATGAACAAAACAGATGAAGATCATTGCCCTTGTGGAGCTGATGTCCCAGTGGGGCTGAGAGACAATAAGCAGTAAGTATAAGAGGTAAATGATTTAGTATGCTAGAAGGCGAGAGGAGCCATGGTGGAAAAAAGAACAGCAGGGTCAAAGGGATCCGGGGCGGACAGAAGGCAGTACTTTTTTTTTTTTTTTAAGATTTTATATATTTGAGAGAGAGCGTGTGCGCACAAGCTGGGGGGAGGGGCAGAGGGAGAGGGAGAAGCAGGCTCTCCACTGAGCAGAGACTCGATGCGGGGCTCCATCCCAGGACCCTGGGATCATGACCTGAGCTGAAGGCAGACACTTAAGCCACTGAGCCACCCAGGCACCCCAAGCCTATTCTCTTTTAAAAACTGCTTGAAGAATATGAAATTGAAGGATACAACACCCCCTTTGTCTTTGCCATATCCTATTTATAGGTTGTTTTCAGAAAGCACTAATATGAAGATTCAGAATATCAACAGAAATGAATAAAATAAAATAACTTTTCATATTTGGGGCCTAAGAGATGACTTTTTATGCTCTGTCAGAAATATCACAAAGAGACATGCACACAGAAAGAGATGGTGGTGGCCCAGGAAGGCAGAAGAGGGGTTGTATTATTTCTAAAATAACATGTATATACCCATGAAAACATCATCACAATCATGATGGTGAGCATATTGTCACTCCCAAAAGTTTCCTCTGCCCCTTTATAATCCCTTCTTCCTGCCCCACCCCCATCCCCATGCACCCACTGATTTGCTTTCTGTCACTGTAATTTAGTTTGCATTTTCTAGAGTTTTCTATAAATGAATCATTGAGTATGTACTCTTTTCTGTCTGATAGACTCTACAGAATTTTTGGAGATTCATCCATGTAGTTCCATGTATCAATAGGTCATTCCTGGGTTTTTTGGTAAGATAAAATCCACATACCATAGAATCCACCCCTTTCAAGTATACAATTCAATGGTTTTAGTATATTCACAAGGTTGTGCAACCATCACCACTATCTCATTCCAGAACATTTCATCACCTCTAAAAGAAACCCTGTACGGGGGGGGGGTTTGGGGGGGGTGGAGGATGGGGTAACTGGGTGATGGGCACTGGGGAGGAGGGTATGTGTTGTAATGAGCACTGGGTATTATATAAGACTGATGAATCACAGACCTGTACCCCAGAAACAAATAATACATTATATGTTAATAAAAAAATAAAAGAAACCCCGTACCAATTAATACTCACTCTCCATTTTTCCCTCCCCCCAGCCCCTGGCAACTACTAATCTATTTTCTGTCTCTATAGATTTGTCTATTCTGGATATTTTATATAAATGAACCATTACAATACATGACCTTTTGTGTCTGGCTTCCTTCGCTCAACATAATGTTTTCAAGGTTGACACGTTATAGCAGGTATCAGTACTTCATTCCTTTTCGTGGTATAATATTTCATTGTATTGATATACCACCTTTTGTTTATCTACTTATCTGCTGATGGGGATTAGCATACAAGTCTTTGAATGGACACATGTTTCACTTTCTTGTGGGTAGACTTCTAGGGTTGGAATGACTGGATCATATAATAAGTATATGTTTAATATTTTAGGAAACTGTCAATATCCCAGTGTCCAGCAGAGTATGTAGTATATAGTATGCTTTCATTGAGTAATTGTTGTATAAAGAATAACTGACTTTATGTCAAACTGTCTTCCAAAGTGCTTGCACCATTTTACATTCCTACCAGTAGTGTACAAGAGTTCTATTCCTCCACATCCTCATCAGTTTTTGGTATGGTTAGTCATCCAGATTCTATCCATTCCAATATTTGTTTCTGGTATTCATTGTGGTTCTAATTTTCATAACCCTAATAAGCAGTGATATTGAGCATCTTTTCATGTGTTTAATTGCCACCTGTGTATCTTCTTTGATGAAGAGTCTGGTAAAATTCTTTGCCTCTTTTTTAAAAATGGGCTATTTGTTTTCTTATTGAGTTTTTAGAGTTCTTTATATATTGTGGATAGAGATCCTTTATCAGACAGATGCTTTGCAAGTATTTTCTCCCAGTGTGTGGCTTGTCTTTTCATTCCCTCAACAATGTCTTTTGAAAAGCAGAAACGTTGGGGTGTGTGGGTGGCTCAGTCGGTTAAGTGTCTGCCTTCAGCTCAGGTCGTGATCCCAGGGTCCTGGGATCGAGCCCCACGTTGGGGCTCCCTGCTCAGGGGGAGTCTGCTTCTCCCTCTCCCTCTGCCCCTTCCCCCGTCATGCTTGCTCTCTCTCTCTCTCTCAAATAAATAAATAAATATCTTT